AATATCATAAATATTTAATAAATTAAAAAATTAAAAAAAATTATAAATACTTTAATTTGATTTTTTTTAAATATGTTTAAAATATTTATAGTAGACGGCGGGTTAAATGTAATGTATTATATAGTAGAAAGTTATGATTCTTATAACAGACTCATTTTAAGATTTTTATGATGAGATGAGTTAAATAAGGTTTGACACTTCTAAATATTTGAAAATTTGATTCTGCAAGTAATTTTGAAAATAATAAATAATAGATTGTGCTGCAATATTTTCATTGAGATTGTAAAATGAAAATATAGACTCCACACATAGATTGAATTTGGTATTATTATATACCAAATATAAGTTCATAACATATTTGATTATATGAATAATTGGTAAATTCCGTAATTAGCTCAAACATATAAGTCCTTGCTTTGCTTTCATTTTTGTTGTTGTAAATTTCTTGTTTTGTAGTTTTCTGTTTTTCTCCTTTCTTTTTATTCCATATAATTTTTGTCAAAAATTTCAAAAATGATATAAAACTTAATCTTTAACTAGAAAATAGTCTTTAATACACATATTTTACATGTTGGAAAATTATTGGAGTTGACTACTTTCTTCTATTGTTGAGATGAGTCTAAAATAAAATAAAAAGTAATATCTTCAGTTGTTGGAAAAATACCGCTTGACTTCATGTTTGCACTGCTACCAAAACTACAATTCATTGTTTGCTTTTGAATTATCCTATGACTGAAAAATATCATGGCGGAATGGGGACTCTTCATAGAATGCCAAGGAGAATGACATATCATTCTCTATTATTTCCACATAACTATTTAGTAAATAATTAAATAAAAGTTTAAATATATATTTTGTTGGTAAAATTGTTCAAGCATGTGACTTTAATTTTCCTTTCAATTTTTTGTTTGTTAATGCAACACATTAATTACTGTAAGCTTGGTCAAAAATAATGTAAATTTAAAAAAAATATATAAAAAATAATAATATAAGACTTACAATATTCATGGAACAATAATTAATGGGAGACTCACAAAAATGCCCCTTTTCAATATATTTTTTCAAAAATGCCCCTTTTGGCTGTTCATTTTTAAAAATACCCCCTTTATGTACAAAATGACTAAATTACCCTTCTTTTAATAAAAGATATCACAAATATATAAGGAAAACATGAGAATGTGCACACATCAAAATTACAAATTTGATTTTGTAAAAACTTGTAAAACCTTTAAAATACCTTGTAAAATTTTCCCGTAAAAATTTTTCCCGCCAAAAAATTTTCCCGCCAAAAATTTTTTTTTGCGGGAAAAGTGATTCCGCAATTTTTTTGGCGTTAAATATTTGGTGGGAAAATTTTTGGCGGGAAAAATTTACAAGGTATTTTAAAGGTTTTTTACAGGGTATTTATAAGGGTTTACAATGTATTTTAAAAGGTTTTACAACGTATTTATAAGGTATTTATAAGATATTATAAGATTTTACAAGCTATTTTATAAGTTTTTACAAGTTATAAGGTTTTACAAGTTTTTTATAAAGTTTTACAAGTTATAAATACCTTATAAAACTTTATAAGTACTTTGTAAAACCTTTTAAAATACATTGTAAAATCTTACAAAACACTTGTAAATACTCTGTAAAACCTTTAAAATACCTTGTAAATTTTTCCCGCCAAAACAATTTCGCCAAAAAAATTGCGGAATCACTTGTCCCACAAAAAAAATTTTTGGCGGGAAAAATTTTTACGGGAAAATTTTACAAGGTATTTTAACGGTTTTACAAGTTTTTACAAGTGTTTTGGCGGGAAAATTGCGGGATCACTTTTCCCGCCAAAAAATATTTTGTATTTTGTGGACCTAATTTTGTTTCAAATAAGGGTAAAATGGTCATTAAAAATTAAAAGAGGACAAACTTAAAAATGAACTCTCAAAGGGGGCATTTTTGAAAAGACGTATTGAAAAAGGGGCATTTTCAACAATTTCTCATAATTAATTTGATGAAATTTCATATATGCATTATAATTTTGAAAGAAAAATTTCTCCAAATTCCATAAATCAAATAATACTTACGCGTATCAATTTAAAAATAAATATCTCAAAATAAAATATTACTAATAACAAATTCACGTTTATATCTATAAATTAAATTATCATGTTTGGGCACCATATAGAACTCAAACAAAAAAATTGTTTCTGAACAAAATTATAAGGATACGAATACGAAGTAAATAAAAACAAGGAGATGATGCCATGGATGACTGAACTTATCACCTTAATATCAGTAGTTCATGGTTTTACCACCAGCCTATTGAACTTTTCAACAGAAAATTGGCCGTTAAAACATATATACATATATTATAACATAGGCTACAAGCTCAAACTTTTCTTGTTTGGACTTAGTGCTGGCTCTACTATTTCATTTAGAGTTTACTGAAAACACAAATTCAGATGTACGAAAACAATAATTTCTATACAATCAAATCTATGAACTATGCTCTATACTATAGTAAGTGCAAAAATATGCAAAACTCAGCATCTATGCAATAATCAATAAAGTCTTACCATAATAACATACTAAACTGAGGGCAAAAAAGATTCGAAACCGGGTCTATTAGAATGCCCAATAACAAAATCCACTAGGAAAATATAAACTCAAAAGAATACGAAGATATGGGCTCCAAACTCGATCATTGACACTGGTCTCAAAACGGCACGCCCAACCACAAAGGCTAGTACCCTCCCTAAAGACTAGTTAGCGGGCATTTTCCCCATGTCACTTACCACTACACGAGTAATGTCCACCGATTAGTGTGTTTATTAATGTTAAAACTAGTAGTACATGAAATTTAATTTACGTGTTGTAATTAAATTGTTTGAAACATTATCATTTGAATATATTTTAATTTAGTTCTATCCTATTACAAATGATCAACCTTCTCGACTAACAAATCATTCATGTGTTTTTCATAGTGAGCAATTTCATGAACAATTTTACAATTGACAATTCTACCTACATTACAAAGATCTACATTAGATGGTTCTCTATGCATCATGATGGACAGTCAGGTCTGGCTCTATGCATGTGTTGGAGGTGCTTATACACAAGATCCATCTAATTTTATCTTTTTTTTTTCTAACTAAATTTATCAAAATTAGGGTCCAAAACTTTTTTTATACAAAAAAACATAAGAAATAAGGGCTAATTATTTTTTTCAGTTCAAGGTCTTTAATTTTTATGAGCCGCTCTTGTGGACAGTTTTACCCTTTGTCAGGCCGGATCACGATTAACGATTCTATCTGCACAACGTTTGAGATCTCTTATTAACTTGTTCCATTTATCTGTAATAATCCGCAATTTTTGGGAACCGAGTCCCAAATCAGGTTTAGAAGCATTAATTAATTTTTGGTCAATGAAAGGACGTTCCACTACAAGTTTGTATTAGCTGAATAAAACTAATGAAGTAAAACTTTTTAATTGCATGTAAATTTGTTGTTTTGCAATTGCATTGCTAGTTAGACATCTTAAACATATTATTATCTTTTCTTTTTTTTTTTGATCAAAGAACATATTATTATCTTCTACTTTCCTAAAAGCATGACTTTTTTTTTTTTTTTTTTTTTTGGTAGGCAGCATGACTTTTTTATTTTGTAAACATTTTTTATGTAAGACTTTCAATGTTTTCTAGTAAAAATATGAATTCATGATTATATTTAATTAATTTCTTTGGACAAATATTTTCTATGAAATACCGTTACTTATCTTTATATTTTATTATTAATTTCTGGTCAAAATCAGTTGCTCATAGTATTCAGATAAAAATTTATTTAAATATTGTTATATGTGATTTAGTGTATTTATGCATGATAATACAAAAAATATTTTTATCACAGTATTTAATTGTTTCTTTCATATTTTTGTAAGATAACTGATGAATAAAATTAATATAGTTATGTTAGACATGTATATAATGTATTTTTAAGAATTAGGAGATAATTCGAGTAGAACTAAAAATATTAGTGTTTTATTTACAAATGTAGAAAATGAATAGAGAAAATATTTTAAAGATAACAACATCTTTTCATTGATTGAGAAATTGAATTCTGCTCACACAGTTGCGGTGGTCTAGTGGTGGTTGAGAATTAGAGAAATGTTGGAAGAAATTAATCCAAGTTCGATCTGGACTTGGGCCAAAGAGCCCAAACAGTTTACCTGGTATTCTAGTAACAGGCGATTTGGCTACCTCCAGACATTAGTCGAAAAGCATTCCAAGCTCGGGATAGATATTGTAGTGGCCCTTTCTTTTGGAGAGAAGTCCACTCTGAAGCACTTCAGTGGATTTCTACCGAGGATGACCGGATCAGCCGATAGAGTTTATCAAAAAAAAAAAAAAAATTGAATTTTCATTTATTTGACATATTTTGATAATTTATGTATGTTTCTTTTGGATGTACACGTTTCGATAGTTCTAAGGAGTATAATCTATTAATCAAATCATTAATGTTACTAGGGCGAAACCCGCGCTATGCCGCATGATTTTTTTAAAAACGTTTTTTTAAGAAGTTGCTTAATTGTGTTTTATCCACTCTACTTCCACTACATGTCTACATGTTTATGAGATTAGTTAATCATGAACACAAATGAAAATTTGATCTTTCTCGCTACCGTGAGATACACTCGCATGAGCCGATTGTGTTCAAAATTGCCAACCTCTGTTAGATTCTTTTCTTTAGATATCACACATTATTTTATGTTCTTAATCAATAAGAAATCCAATTTGCAGTTATTGCATCTAATCCACCAATGTTGAGTTTTTAACCTTTGTTTTTCCATTGACACCTCTGTTTTGGGTTTATAATTGGGCTTTTGATATGATATTATAGGTTCCGATTTACCTTATGTAAATCCCATTTCAGTTATTTAATAAAATCAGTTGTCAAAAAAAAAAAGGGGTTTTTTTATTAATAATTTAATACATACATATGAAGAGGTTAATTATATAATTTGTTTAAATTTCTGACTACCAAAACCATTTACTACTTAGAACACACACTTTGTGTGTCGCTTTTATGCTTGTTGCAGGCGTTAATGACTGAGAAGTGATGGGTTTCGAATGGCCCAAGGTTTCTGTTGGATTTGAATGGCCCATATCGGTTTGGCTTAGTAAAGTCAAACCTCTGAATCCACTAGAACATCCTTCTTCTCTTCATTAAGAAAGAGAGATAGCGAGAGATTGAAAAAAAAAGAACCGAGAACCTCCACAACAATGAATTTCAATCCACCGTCACAACGTTGATCGTTTTCTTCTTCTTCGGCGAGCCTAAGGTTCAATCTCAGCTAGAAAATTGAAATGTGTGTTTTTTTGATACATAGAATTTTTGGGGATTGAAAAGTTTTTCTCAAATCTAATTCCAATTCGATGCAAGTGTGTAATGAGCGAACTCTTGGGACCATGGTTTCTTCAATCCCTGAACCTCTTTATTCACTTCTTCTGTCAAATTCTCTCTTCTTTCAAGAAAAATGACTTCTCTCCCCAACAATCCTCTATAGCTTCCCATGAACATTTGCTCGCATTTGATAAGCACAAAGTCGACCAGTGTTTTTCTCTCAATCTTACTCTGGGCATCTCTCTTACCTTCAATTTCATCGAAAAAGCTCAGAGGTAATATCAGTAGCCATCCCCAAGGAGAATTCTTTTATCATCAGTTGGCCAGAGACTATGAACTTGGTTATGTACTCGAGCTCTCAGTCATGACCTTCTTCAGCTTCTAATAAAGCGACGGATTCTGTTGAGGATTTGGTTTCTCTAGTTTCATTCTCATATTCATTGCGTGAATTCGAGAAACTTTTGCTGCTCGAGATTTGAAGATTTTTGGCTGTGTTGAAGTTGTTAACTTCCTGATCCTCTTATACATGTGTCATAAGAAATATGAAATTTTAAAGATCAGTGAGTCAAAAAACCTTACGAAAATATAAATATAGCGAATTATAAAAACATTGGTAAGCTACTAAACAAGGGTAAAAATTGATGGATCCATCACCTAATTTGATCAAATCAATCGAAGTAGAAAGACAAACACATTTGAAGATTTCAAGATAATATAAGCATCAACCCACCATTTAAAAGAAATAGATAACTACCCACACAAATTATTTCTTCTTTGCAACTGAACTTCCATCTCAATCAAGTTGTCGACAAAATCGTCAAATCAAATCCCCAGCTTGACTGGATTCACGAAAACAAAGTGGAAGATCTAAGCAAATTTAAATTCAATCAAAATCACCTTAAAATCAAGTTATGCTTTCTGACATTGGTAACCCTATCTCAAAATTCTTCATGAACCATTGTTATTATGATCTTTCAACCAAATTTATAATCATAATTAGAATCAAACTGTTTAGTCGTAAAAAAAAATGTCAGAAATTTTTATCGTTCAAAAATCAAAACCTTTTCAATCTCGACTTAATTGGAGAATAAAAGCTTCCTACAATGTACTCACAACCTCTTCATTGATTTCAACCTCTGCAGCTTCTGCCTCTACTACCGTCGCAGCACTGTTCTCGGTAGACTTATATATCCTCACGCGCCTGATAGGAAAAAAGAAAATTATTACATCTTACATCAGCTATGGTTCTTTAAGCCCACTTCTCTCCAAACAATAAAGCCCTACAAATTGAAATATAATGACATGGCATAAAGAAAATTATTTATAGGCTAAAACATGTTGAGTTGTATTAATCGAAATGTTTTCATTGGACGACGATTTTAATGAGGTGTCAACATGAGAAGAGCCCAAAATGCTGATGTGTCAGGCCTAGAGAGATTCTTAGTGTTATTATTGTATTGATTTAAATATATTCTTAAAGTATAGTATTATCATTATAACATTTGGTTATTTTAAAAGTCCAAGTTGGAACAAATTTTGATCTATGTCTATACACACTTAAATCATAAATGTTATTTAAATATATTTTTCAAAAAGTATTTTTTTTGAATTTAATGATATATATATATATATATATATATATATATATTTGTCAATATTAGAGTATTATCATTATAATATTTTGGTTATTATTAAAGTCCAAGTTGCAACAAATTTTGATCTATACTTTTTGATTAGCTTGTAATTTTGTCATCAGACTCATTTACCTAATGGCCCAATCCAACGGTTTGGAATCAACCTTAACCAAACATCATATCTAATTATATATCCTTTCCATTCTCTCCCCAATAAACTATTAACAATAAATATTTAATAATAATTAAGAGAAGAAAAGATATCTACCAATCCTAAATAAGAAGAAAAAACATAAAATCTTCATTTATCAACAATAAATTAAAATTTATATCTTCCTTTCTCTCTTACCCTGAAAATCTGATTTTTTCCTGCTCTTGTCTCAAAAATCAATTATCTAATACCCTTTCTCTCTCCCTCTCTCTCTACTGATCATCTTCACAGAGGTAATGCAAATGGCAAAAGCATGTTCTTCGTAATTTATTACATTACTCACAAGGTTTTGTCTCGATCAATATAATTCCCTTTTTGTATATTGTAATTATTGTTTAAGAAAAACAAAACAGGAGAGAGATCAATGGAGGAGCCAAAATGGCTGGAAGGTCTCTTGAGAACAAACTTCTTCAGCATTTGCCCTCAACACCGTGAGACACCGCGAAATGAGTGCAACATGTTCTGTCTCTCCTGTCAAAACGCTGCGTTTTGCTTCTACTGCCGCTCCTCCTTTCACATTGACCATCCCGTTCTTCAGGTCCTTCATTTTCTCAACACACCACATTGCATATACATATATCAATTTGACTCACTCCAGTTCTTTATCATTGACATTGGGACAGATAAGAAGATCTTCATATCATGATGTGGTGAGAGTGTCGGAGATAGAGAAGGCATTGGACATAAGAGGAGTGCAAACTTATGTCATCAACAGCGCGAGGGTTCTCTTCTTAAACGAGAGACCTCAGCCTAAGAACTCCTCCCATGGCGCCGCCTCCTCAACCCCGAAAACCATTTCCTACTTCTGTGAGACATGTTGCAGAACCCTTCTTGATCCCTTTCGCTTCTGTTCCTTGGGTTGCAAGGTTCGTTCACCAACACTTTTTCTGAATGCACAATTTTTTTCTTGTAGTCGGATAAATCATAGGCCAAAACTCTGTCAATTTTCGTATCTATAGAACAATGGATAGTTACCATTTAATGCGTCTATAGAAGTCAATGTGGAGTCAATCGATATAACAAGTACTTTACAACTGGACCAACAAAATTGGTTTATGCATATTTTCATCATTATTACAAATGCCTTCGCATCTATTTGTCCAATATGAGGAATCGGTTTTAGGATACACCGTATAACGTTTATATTCATTTATATGGTAAATTCATTGATTCGTCTATATTCAAACTCGTATAATGCATGTTGTTTGCCTCATATAATGTATCTTATAAAATTGTATATGCGAGGTTAGATGTGTGTATATATGTATATATATATGTTACATTTGCATAAGGGAAATGTATGATGTGATCATCATAAAAATGTCAGGTTGAAGGAATGAGGAAGAATAAGGAAGAGGAAGAAGAAAGATTGCGTAAAGAAAGACAACAAGAAACGCACAAAGGCACGCATCCTCCAACTCATACCTCTAATTCTAGGCGACGAAAAGGCATTCCTCATAGAGCTCCTTTGGCCTCCTAATTTAATCAATCTTTTTCAAGAAATAAAAAAATAAAACTTTTCTTTAACTTATTTTATCTTTTTAAAATCTCATTTAATGGTCCACCCAAATTAGCATAGTATATGCGTATTGGGTGGGTGTATTTATATATTCCCAATTTGTACAATGTCCAGCTCACTTCTAACAATCCTCTCACATTGAAATACAACAATTTGTATAGAAGAAAATCCTAATTTCCCAACTTTTTTGCTGTAAAATATTAAATACTTTTCTAGCTAATTTTATATCATATCTATATGAGTGGGATTGTAGGATGGACTATATTTGATACACTAAATAATTTTTGTGAAATATATAAGTCTCATCTTTGAAACACATTATACAAAATCAAGAGTTAAAAAAGACTCTTTGTGGAAGGAAGGAATAACATGGAAATTAGGAGTTAGACTACGAGAATGTCGGTGGAGATATATTGTATACTTTATTTTCGAGTAATGATCTAATAACTAATCGATGTGGTGGTTTGAAGTTACCTGTCTCTAGCTATATCCATCTAGCTACTAAATATATTAGTTTAGGGGAAAAAACCCGAAAAATACCTTATTTATTTTTTATTTGGACGTTTAATACCTAATTTTTTTTTGTTTGAAAAAAATACCTCAGTTAATTATATTCGGTCGAAAATACCTTATCTTTAAATTATTGGTAGATTCAAACCTCTGATTTAACGGACGTTACGGTATCAGTAAACAACGTTAAATTATAACAGGAAAATAGCCGAAAAATACTCAATCTATTTACTTTTGGAATTTTAATACCCCAACTTTTTGGTTAGAAAAAAATACCTCGTTTAAAATATCTTTGTCTAAAAATACTTCATTTTGAATCATTGGTGGATTCAAGTCTGCGACTTAACAATTATTAACGGATATTACAAAATCATTTAACGACGTTAAATGTTAACCCTGTGTATATAAATAGATATATACAATTTTTATTCAAAATTTTACAAATATATTGGTGTGGTCTAGTGGTAACAAGTAGTTTATTTAATATTATTGCGTTAATACGATCAAAACTCCATCTTTCTCGAACCATTTCTTTTATTTCTCCACTTTTACCTAAATTCTTCTCCACTTCCGCAACTAACCTACTCCACGACCACAAAAATGACATATCCATCGTCGTCGTCATCTTATATATTAGTTTAGGGGAAAAAACCCGAAAAAATACCTTATTTATTTTTTATTTGGACGTTTAATACCTAACTTTTTTTTGTTTGAAAAAAAATACCTCAGTTAATTATATTCGGTCGAAAATACCTTATCTTTAAATTATTGGTAGATTCAAACCTCTGATTTAACGGCCGTTAACGGACGTTACGGTATCAGTAAACAACGTTAAATTATAACAGGAAAATAGCCGAAAAATACTCAATCTATTTACTTTTGGAATTTTAATACCCCAACTTTTTGGTTAGAAAAAAATACCTCATTTAAAATATCTTTGTCTAAAAATACTTCATTTTGAATCATTGGTGGATTCAAGTCTGCGACTTAACAATTATTAACGGATATTACAAAATCATTTAACGACGTTAAATGTTAATCCTGTGTATATAAATAGATATATACAATTTTTATTCAAAATTTTACAAATATATTGGTGTGGTCTAGTGGTAACAAGTAGTTTATTTAATATTATTGCGTTAATACGATCAAAACTCCATCTTTCTCGAACCATTTCTTTTATTTCTCCACTTTTACCTAAATTCTCTCCACTTCCGCAACTAACCTACTCCACGACCACAAACATGACATATCCATCGTCGTCGTCATCTTTGTCTCAATCTCTCATGTGTTAATTGTATTTAAATTTAAATTTGTAGGAGTGAAGAAAATGATGTATTTAAATTTGTATGACGTCATTCATTAAAGAAAATAAGACATCAAAAGAAGTTCTATGCAAGTTGAATAAAATACGTGTTACCACCAGATCAAACAATATATTTGTAAAAATTTGTATAAATATTGTATATATTTATTTTTACATGGAAAGTTAAAATTTAACGTAGTTTACTGATTCTAAAATGCCCGTTAACGGCTGTTAAGGCACAGATTTGAATCTACTAACAATTCAAAAACAAAGTTTTTTGAGACAAAAATATTTAAATGAGGTATTTTTCTTCCAAAAAAAAATTGAAGTATTAAAAGTCCAAAAATAAACAGATGAAGTATTTTTCGGCTATTTTTCTCGTTATAATTTAACGTCGCTTACTAATACTGTAACGTCCGTTAACGACTAAATCAGAGGTTTGAATCTACTAACAATAATTAAATGAGATATTTTTCTACCGAATATAATTAAATGAGATATTTTTCTTCCAATAAAAAAAATTTAGGTATTAAACATTCAAATAAAAAAATAGATGAGGTATTTTTAGGGTTTTTTCCCATTAGTTTAGACTGAAATTGTGTGGGGTTTAGGGCTCAATAATTGTGTATCTAAATGGTTAAGGGACATGAATGTGTATATGTTTTGTATAGACACATGAAATGTTTCTCTACTTGTTTTTGATGATAATTTCTATGCTGCTATATAATTAAAATAGTTTGTCGTAGGCGTTAGGTATTGGAAAGGTACAGTTACTTAAAAAAGAAAGGAACGTTTTCATATATTTACATAAATAATTTTAGTGGTAACATTTTACGTAAAGGATGGTCTTATTTTAGTACGTATCGACCGTAATTTCCTTCACGTTCTATACATAGTATATTATGTCATTTTGTAAAATAACTAGGTCATAACTTTATGAATTACGTGTTGTTGTTTTTCTAGAATAATTAGTGTGTTAATGCATTATTTAATTTTTGGCCGCAGCCGCGCTTTTTAGGGGGATTATGATTTCTTAAGTCTTACTCCCTCCGTATTTTAATAAGTGTCGTTTTAGAATTTTTATTTTTTTGAATTGGATGTCGTTTTCAAATTTCTATACAAAATTTATTACTTTTTAATGTTTTATGATATCATAAAACATTAAAAAGTAAAAAATTTTGCATAGAAATTTGAAAACGACATCTAATTTTTAAAAAAAGAAAATCCTAAAACGACACTTATTAAAATACGGAGGGAGTACTATTTTTAATGTTACTCCTTATGTTTCATTGTAAATATCGTTTTCAGATTTCTCTCATGAATTAAACATGTAAAATATTTATTACATTCTTATAATTTTGTTTTATTTTAGATTGTTCTATTATATTTTGACTAGTGGAATTTTTTTTTTTTTTTAACTACAACACTAGCACAAGCCATTATACTAGAAATCATTTTTTTGGTAAAAACCCAAAGGAAATTATCCTAAAACAAACTTATACCAATGTTTGGAAACTAAAAAAAAAACGAAGACTTTCAAAACGTATAAATTCTTAACAACTCTATATTATTATTAGTTTATTAATGATGTCCACATATATTAACATCTCATATACCTTGTAAAGTGAAGTTCAAGATTAATGGTACAAATTATTCAATTTTGGAGATTCAGATAGAAGATTATTTGTATGGGAAAAACTTCATCAATTGTTGGGAAATAAGCATGAGACGATGAGCTAGGATGACTGGATTTTTTTGATAAACAAGTTTAAGGTGTTATTAAGTTAAACAAGATCAAAGGAAGTCACGTACAACGCCGCGAAACGTAAGTTTACAGAGAGGCCCATGTGGTGGTGGGCGGGTGGTTGGTGGGCCAGGGGTGTTTGGGTGAAAGTCCCTCCTTTCCTGCTCCTGCTGTTATCAACATTATGTGGAAAGTCTGTGAGTTGGGCTTTGGCCCTATTGGTTTACCTAGTAGTTAGAAATGAAGGCGGCCTGACTATCCCTGACACTTAGTCGGAAGGCACACCAAACTCGGGATAGACAGAGTGGTAGCCCGAAGGGCCTAGCCGTTAACACGGTAGACAAGTCCACTATATAGCACCTCGGTGCGTTCCAACCGGGACCGACCGGATAGGCGATAGGGTAAAAAAAAAAAAAAAAAAGATTACAGAGAGGTTGATGAAAGTTTACTTAGATATCTATGAGAAACCTTCTGCCAACAATAAGGTATTTCTCATGAAGAAACTCTACCAATCGAAGATGGAAGGAGGTAATTCTGTTGCAGCGCACGTTAATAAATTCAATACGATTGTCAACCACTGTCATCGATTGAAATCAAGTTTGATGATGAGGTTTGTTCTTTGATTTTTTTGGCATCTCTGTCAAATAGTTGGGAGCCCATGCGGGCAGCGGTTAGTAATTATGTTGGTAATCAGAAGCTTAAATTTGTTGATGTACGAGATCGAATCCTTGGCGAGGAAGTTCAAAGAATAGATACATGAGAAGCTTCAACAAGTTCTGCTTAGAACGTAGAAAACAGAGGGAAAAATCCAAACAGAACAAACCATAATCAGGGCAGAGGAATCGAGTAATTAACGGGGTTAAATCCAAAACCAAACATCCTACATAGTGCTGGAATTGTGGCAAAAAAGCAAGATTAAGAAAAAATATTGTACTACACCGAAGAAGTTAGATAACAGAGGAGCTGGAGCCAATGAAGTCACACAAGAAATAATTGATGCATTAGTAGTGTCTGCTGATTCTCCAAGAGGAAGTCAAGTTCATGTTGCGGTTGTTGAAACCGCAGAAAAAATTGATCTCTTCGGCTTATAATTAGATCGATTCTTGGGTCTTAGATTCAGGAGCCTCTTTCCACATTAATGCTCACTAGAACATAATGGAGAACTATGTTGCCCGAAATTATTGGAAGATAGATCTAGAAAATGGATTACCTTTGGACATTGTTGGTGTTGAAGACATTAACCTCAAGATGCCAGATGACCGTGTGTGGAAAATCACAAAGGTTAGAAATGTGCTAAAGTTGATGCAAAATCTGATTAGATAACTTGCTAATACAGGACATAATATCAATGTTGGTGGTGGAGCTTGGATAGTGACAAAGGGTTCCATGGTGGGTACAAAAGGTCATAAAAGAAGCATTCTTTATATAAAGACAAACTATGAAGATACAATTGTTGTTGCCGAAAATGCCAAGAAAACTGGGATGTGGTATTTTAGATTGGGGCATCTGAGCGAAAAATGTATGAAACTCATGGTAACAAATCGTGAATTTCCAGATATGAAACTCATGGTAACAAATCGTGAATTTCCAGATTTGAATATAGTAAATCACTACATGTGTGAAAGCTGGATGATAGGAAATTGAAATCACAGTGACGTGTTGGGACCCGCTCCTGTTGCGTCGCTGGGAGGATCACACTATTATGTTGCATCGTTGGGAGGATCACACTATTATGTGTCTTTCATTGATGACTCCACAAAGAAGGTATAGGTTTACTTCATGAAAAGGTAGAAAATGAGACAAATCTCAAGTTGAAGTGCCTAAAATCTAGTAATGGTGCCGAGTTTAAAAAATATTGTGCTGATAATAGGATTAAGATGGAGAAGACTATTTTTGGAACGCCCCGTCAAAATGGAATAGCGGAGATGATGAGTAGAATTCTAAATGAGCGTTAAAAAAACCTGCGAATCCATTGTAGATTACCTCAAATGTAATCAATAGTGCAACCTTCTTGATTAATATAGGACCGTATGTTCTATTAAGATTCAAGATCCTTGAAAAAGCTTGGATTCATTAGAATAGCCATGTTTTTGTGGACTAAGATGAGAGAAAAATTGTTTTCTATTAGTGTGTGATTCATGGTCATTAATTTGTGAATTAAATCTTAAATTATTGGTAAGACTTAACTATTTGATTTTTAATATTGATCTTTGACCTTTGACTATTTGATCTATTCATGAGCCATCTGTATTTTTTTTGGTCTTTATGACATGAGGAGCTTCCAATGAAATAAATTGAATTTATTGTGCGAAATGGTACACTAACACTTAAGATCAATGAGAGAAAACTATATAATGAAATTAAATAAATAAATATATATATATATATATATATATATATATATATATGTGTGTGTGTGAAAAGTGTACATAAAATAACAAAGATGTGAATAACTCTAATATGTTTCCTCTTTTTATTTTTCAATTCCATCCAAAACATAGACTCAATTCTAATACTTAGGCATTATGACATCGATCTTTCACTTGCAGGTAACAAAAAAACTTATGATTTGTAAATTTGGAGATGCAGCGACCGAATTTAAATTTCTTCCCATCAACTAGATTTTAACCTGCGGTACACCGCGGGATGATTTAATTTTAAAGTTAGTATAAAAATATTTTGTAAATTGTATCTCCTTATAACATATTTATTTATATTATAGTTTACAATTGTTATTAAGTAACGGTATACCACGAGTCCACGAGATAATTATTAATAAACTGAGAATTTAACCCGTATTAAAGCGGTATATAAATATTGATTCAAATTCGTCCGCCATATAAATCCTTTCCGAAATATAACTTGTTCCGTAATTTCTTAACCCGTCCCGTGATTTGTTTTTATTTTAAAATTTAATAATTATTTATTATATATAAAAGTTTACAAATCATATCATTCTCTAAGACATTTATATTTTAATAAACTGAAGATTTAATATGTATTAAAACGGCATGTTAATGATATTTAAAATTTTATAAATATTGTTATTAAGTAACATTATACCACGGGACAATTTTTGGTTTTATACAATTTTTTCTAAATGAGACTGATTTAATATGTCTAATATTGGTGGTATTAAAAAAAATAAGGATTTAATCCGTATTGAAGCGGCGGGTTAATGATATTTTAATCTTTTTATTATTGTTGATTAAAAAATCCGTCCCGCCAAACCCGTCCCGCCAAAAAACTCATTTATTTTATTAATGTTGATCTTATTTATGATATGATTCTGAATCATTGTCTAAATATTTTAATCGATGTAGAACGTTGAACACACATTTTTGTCAATTAGATAATATATGTCCGTTTTTAAAATTTCGAATCATAGTATATGCAGAAAAAAAATGATTTTTTTTTTACTTTATGTATTATGTGATGATTCAAAACAGTTAAAAACAAATCAAACAAAGATGATAGGAGAATCATAATTCTAAATCTTAATCAAATCTTCTAAATATCTAAATTATTAAATATGGAATATTCGGTGTATGAGTTGGGTTAAATATAACCCGACCCAATAAATTTTTTGTGAAAGATTTTAAAAAACGGGTCGGATATCCGATTAACCCAAAAGCATTTTTATCCATCCGTCACCAAAATGTTGCAAAAATACTAGTATAGATACATATTGGAGAATCTCATTTAGAATTTACCCAAAAACTTTGATATATATGGTGCAACTTAAGGAAGGTAGTTCAATTTCCATTGATATTTTCTCATGGAAGGTCGCTCTCACTTGTCAAAATTACTCCATTCATTGGAGACTATTTAATCAACATGGGTTCGCTATGGTCTCGAAGATTTGGAAAATAAATACTATTGCTTTAATTGCCTGATAGTTTTTTTTTTTTTTTTTAAATTGCGTGATAGTTAATTTGACAAATAATTTGTATTAAAAAAAATTATTTGTATATATTTGATAATAGGAACGTGAAAAAAAAGAAGAATTTAGAATTAGATTAGAGAAAAAGTGAAAAAAAAAGTTAAAGAGGTGAAATTAGTTTAGTCTTTGATATTTCTTAATTAAGCTATCTTAATACTCTTAATTTAGGCCTTGTTCGTTCTAGACGCAGCTACAGCCTACAAAAGGTAGCGACCAAAACCTACAAACGAGGGAGAGGAATTCGTTTGCCACATTAAGTTTTTATTTTAGGCCATTAGAACTGCCTCTGTAAATTGTAGTAACACCCATATTTTCTTATTTAAGTCATCGAAGTCTCTCTTTTTCAGCTTCAGCAACATTACACAAATAAATTAGAGATAGAGTGTATACTATAAACAATTAAGAAGATGCGTCGTGGAAAAGAACGAGGCCTTAATCATGTATATATAAACAAGAAGAGTGAGTCACCAAATTTAGGTTATTTTGTTTTGACGTTTTTCCTTGCAACTTGTTTAAGTTGGGGACTAAACCAATTGTTGTTCGTGGTTTCATCCAGTAATTTCTCATATACAAAGAAACAAGAAGTTCTATGAATATTCCATGAAAATGCAATTAATGTGGGACAAAACTAAAACATTGTTTTGCTTTCAAGTAACGTGCAACAAAATAAGGGCATTGAGAATAAAACTTGGAAAAAAAAAATGACATGTCAAAAAAATATGGAGCTTAATTACATTGAAACATGTAGCTGAAAATGTCCATTTAGAGGCAAACTAGCTAGACTCTGTTATAAACTTGAAATCCTCAGCATAGTCTACAAAGGTGTAAACTCTATTAGGCTTCTCAAACGCTTCAAAACCTTGGACTCTAACTCTCTCAAGAGTTCTCCTTTCGGGATTGAAGTAGAAAACAAAGAAAGCTTTAGATGTATAGTCCATGGACAAAATAATTTCATTAGTAGCAGTCACTCCAACGACGGAAACATCTCCCTTAACGACAATATTCACCGGAAAAGTGTATCGATGTTCCAACCATTTTTGATCCTGGGCATCCTCTAGAATCTGCAAACACAACCTAGCTCTTCCATAAACGTAACTATCCCAACGCCAACTAATTACACCTAATTTACCCTTGTATTTTATCAATTTAGTAGACGAAGAAGTAGACGAAGAAGAAACTAATAACTTCCTAATAATAGAATCTGTCTTAAGAAACCTAAAATTTTCATTCCTAACATCAAAGCAAGCTAACTTCACACCTTTTGCTTGTCCAGCAATGTAATACAAAACCCCATCGATGCATACCCCTTCCCCTATAGGATAATGGTTTTCCGGACAATGCAGTTTTCTCCATGACATTTTCCCAGTTCCTAATGTCATAATATGTCCCTCTTCATTAGATGCTCCATAAATTGAATTTCTTATGTTTGATACTTTATATCTTTTGCCAATAGGATCATAACCTAATAAGCTTCTTGAATCCCTTTTCCTTTTCAATTGAGGTAATCTTGCGTACTGTCCTGTGCTAGGGTTACATATCACCGGCACTTCACTTCTCCGCATATTAGGGAAATAGAACAAGCCAGAGACAGGACCACAAATCTCTGATCCCATGTCTCCAGGTAACTGCATATGCAAGTCGGCTGATACTACAAGAGAATGGTTCTCATCTAGATTATGGAGCTGAGGCGACGAGTAGAAGCACCAGTCACCGGAGTTTTTGATGGCGAATAAGAGACGTGGCTGAGAAGTTAAGGATCTGGTCAGGAACAACTCGGTGAAATTTTGAGAGTTAAGTATTGATGCACAGAACTTGGATGCGAGACCAAACCTAGCGATTTCTTTAGTAGAGGATCTCGAAAGTATGTCGAGAATGATGTCGATCGGGATGGGATCTGAGTTTCCTTCTCTTGCCATCGAAGATCGTTCGTGTGTTTTGGTTCCAGACTTAATTAACGTAGGCTGTAATTTAGGGTTTATATAGAGGTCCAATATGTAAAATAAATAGGGATTTCACAAATGTTAAAACTCGATTCAGAAAATAAATAAGGAAATGTTTTATTTTTGGGATAAAATTAAGTTTCCTATTACGGAAAACGAAACGTTTGTGTGTGTATACAACAATTAGCTAGGCTTAGCTAAGGAGTCTTTAGGCCCAAAAAAAGACAACTAAATAGAACATGATTTAAGTCATTGAGAATGAAATCAAGAGCTTAGGGATATACAGGCCCGGCCCAAAGGGGTAGAGCAGAGGGGCATAGGCCTAAGATTGAATCACAAAAAAATATCATTAGTATAAGGCCCCGTTAAAAAAAGAATTTAACAAAGAAAAATGCCCAAGTTTTCAATGTTGTTATTTTTTAGATTCATTTTGCCAATCTTAGAAAGGTTTAAAATGAAACCCAAATATTTTAAACTTTCAAAAAAAAAAAAATCATCTCAAAATTTAAAGTTTTCTTTATTTATTTAATACACCTTTAAAAACATGTTTAAATATATAAAATTTTAATTTCTTTTTACATAAAAGGATCCAAAATCTTGACAAGAGGATAGATAGTTTTTTGCACTTGGGTTTTGAGAAAATTAAAATAAGTAACTTTCACTGGTTTAGTCTAAAAACAGTATTCTAAAGTTAAAAGTAAAAGTAAAAGTAAAATTTACAAATATAAGTTTTTTTCTTTGTTAAACCTCAACACATGTTTACAAAGTTTAAATTTACTTTTCTCTATGACCTGTATTCACTGTACTAATTTTGGAACAACCCCTTTATATATGTGTGTGTGTCACATTTACCCAAATCTTTCTGTTTCATGCAATTTGACATCTAGAATTTGTAAATTTAAAATTTATATATCACTTCGTCTTTGTAAAAAAACACATCCAGAATTTTTGACGTCATCTCCGGCACCTCCAAGGGAGTAAGCTTGAATAACATAGTATCCCACTTGTCTTAAATCTTCAAGATCACAGGTATAGTCACCATCGCTAGCCATGACTAATAAATACGCTGGTGGTTGCCTCTCAAGAGCATAGGCCAAAATATCTCTGACAAGTGCAATATCATCGTCGTCTCCCCTTTTAGCAACCAGTCTTTAGGCTTCTCCAAGTAGGGTAAAGTCTTAACGGGCGAAACCTGCACAAAAAGAACTACTGAATAAATAAATAAATAACCTCATCACGACGATTTATCAAACAAATTTTTATAAAATTTCATAAAACCTCTATCTTGTCATAAGATGCTACAAAATCCATAAAAATTATCAATGGTTTTTATGTTTTCCAGATGCATAACTGTTCCAAAGACTTAATAAAATTTTAGCGCCTCAATACATTACCACTAAGGTGCGAATAATCAAGACCCCTTTGATGGGTATTGCAATGGCTATGTTTGCTTTTGAGGGGTTTGTTGAACTGCTAATAATCAGAACAATTTTTTTTATCGTGATTTTGAGTTTGAACAAACAATTCAATATTTGTTTTTAATTCATTTGTCCATCTAAACATTGACAAAGTTTGTCTTTTCTTTTAGTGTATGAACTTACCAGGTTACTCAACAGCCAATATTCTTGTTTTATGGGATTACGAGAATTGTGTTATCCCAAGTAGCTGATGCGGAAAATGTGATTAATGGCATCGATTTTTTTTGAGAAATAACAACTATAACGGAAAAATTCATGTAAAATTGGTTATGGTGCTAAAAGCCAACTCATAAATAAGTTGTCAAAATAAAAATATTATGATATGTAACGTACCAACTCCTCGAAGGATAAAAGAATTCGTAGACAAGAAAATCATAGCTGCTTTGTTGAAATGGATTTTTGAACAAGTTATTCATTTTCAAGAGCCTCGGGTGGTGATGCTTATAAGCGGGGATGGTGATTTTAGATTTACGATCGAAGATTTGTCAGTAAAGAAAGTTAAATTATTGTTAGCACGGAAAGACCACTGGTCAATTAATTTTAGGCCACTTATTTAGTTTTTATCTCTCTTGGGATCTCTCTCGCTTTTGTTGTTGTTTTTTTTTCTCTCGGCTGAGTCTAAAAGCTTTGAACTCTATGTGATTTTTTTTCCTCTATTTGTATGTTTGTTTTATATAGCCTCAAGATTAAGTGAGACAGAGTTTTGTACATTTCAAGAACAACATTTAACTCAATTAAACTTTCATACAATTAGCATGTTCGTTTCGTCGCCGCAGCTACCTGCGGTTAAAAATTTTGGACGCTATTTAATTTTAACGTCAAACGATTAAACAGTTGCGATCTGTGGCTGCGGCTGCGGCGACGAAACGAACAACAACCTGCGGTAGTGTTGCCGCCGCCGCTACCGCAGCCGCTACGTACCGAAAATCCAATGGCCCAGCTTTTGAATCAGCAGACAACCCAACAATCAAGCTGCCAAGTATTATATCAGTATATAGTTATATATAAATATATAATTAGTACTAAAACATACAAAAGACTTTTATCAAAAGAAAAAAATAAACAAAAAAGAGTTTATACCTCAAGATCCTTATCCGCCAATAGCATATTTAACATGAGATCAAAGATATATTCAATTTCAATAACAATAGGCCAAAAAAGATTATATTTGCCCAGAAGGCCTTAGTTTCTTTGGGCCGGGGCTGGGCACATAAAGCCGAGGAGTTTTTGAATTGAATTGTCCATGAAAAGTAATGAAAACTCGAAGATATCAATCAACCTTGGATTAAAGAGAAGTCTATTGTATCAAGAAAATGGAAGAAAGTATCAAAGGAAGTGCTTCACATGATTCGGCTGAAGCGTTTGTGGTTTGATGCAGCAGATTATCCCGATTGACACACTTAAATCTGTATAGAATCTAGATGGAGTGAAAAAAAGTTTTTACTAAGTTTACTATCACGTGTAAATACTATCTCTACACAATTTGATCATTAACATTAATTCATTTACGTCGTCTTCTCAAAACATGGTACACATATTGCCGGTCCAAAGTTTCTAAATTTTCTTTAATGCCTTATGCATAATTAACAATTTAGGCCTTTTTGTTAATATAAAAGAAAAAAATTCTTCCAAAAAAAATGTTTGACAATGTGAGACCCTAAGCGGTGGCTTCACTTAATAATGTGAGACCCGAAGTGGTGGCTTCACTTGCTTGCCCTCCGGACCGGCCCTAATGAATTAGACTAGACTCTCACAAACCTTTTCAAGCTTGTACTTGATTCTTTCCTCTGCATTAACAAACTTTTTCTTCTTTCCTTTAACAGTAAGTCGCCGCGGGTCTTTCCTATTAGCTGCATTCCTTTCCTCTCTTTCTTTCTTTCTTTTCAACTTTATTCATATAGTTAAAATGATATTTAAATACTAACATGTGTACGTGTACGTTAATGTGATAAGTCTTTTCACATTGTTAAGTAATAAAAGTTGATAAATGAGAATTTCATTTTGTTTCTTGATAGACTTCACTAATGGAGACCAAGCACCTGCACCTCCGCAAGCTTCTCCAGCTCTACCAAGCTTGTGGTGGCGAACAAGAGCTCGTAACAAACGTCCAAAACGCCACATCATTACCACCGCCACCACCAGAACCACCTTCGGCATTAGACTCCTCCATGGCTCTAACCATCTTTGTCCTCTTGGTTGCTCTCTTCTTCATGGGTTTCTTCTCCGTTTACATTCACCACTTCGTAGATGATTCAACGGTTGAGATTTCTTCCATACCAAGAACAAGATCCTCTAGGATGTCTCCACGTCGCCTTTCCACCTCCGTCGTTGTCTCACGGCCGTATAGTTACCGGAGGGGACTTGATTCTCAGGTAAATCCATTTCTCTAATTTTTATACATCTCTCTCCGTTCTAACGTTAACCAGCAAGGTTGGGGCATTTCAGACCGTTCGATCTCTGCCAGTGTACCATTACACGAAAGCCACGAAGCAGCGGAACGAAGATTGCGTTATCTGCTTGAGTGAATTCGAAGAAGGTGAAACAGTTAAAGTGATACCACACTGTGGTCACGTGTTCCACGTGGATTGCGTTGACACGTGGCTGAGCTCATACGTAACATGTCCCTTGTGCCGGAGCAACCAGCTGTTCTCGGATAAGGACTTGGGCATGCAAGAACCGCCTGATCAGGGCTCGTCAGAAGAACATGACACGTGTGATGTTGTGGACCCTTGTGTCAGAAGGTGTAGTAGCTGTTCGAGTTTGGGGCAGAGGACTGGATTGGAACGGTCGTTGAGTCTCTGACACGTTTTTTTTTTTTTTTATTACTCTTGATTTTGTGTTTGTATTGTAACAAGGAAAGGGTATGAAATAAGGAATCTGTAAAATGACATTGAGTACTAGAATTTTTGGTAGTGTTGATTTCGGAGAGAAATTTGGTACTACTAGTTTTGATTGTTTCAAAAATATCGTTTGTGTTTGGCTACTTTGTAGTAGAAACAAAGACAACACATGATTACCCTTTTAGATATGAGACCGCACGCAGTTTCTTCACTATGTATTTTATGTAGATTTTTACATAACTGAGACACATCTACTCTTAAAGTTTTGTTAGCATTCGTCGAATATCTTGTTAACCAGAGCCTAGAGGCTCAATTCTTTGTATCATCCAAAGTGTTGCACTTTTTAGATGTTTTTATTGTTGGATATGCACAAAAATGTATGAAAGTCACAGATACTTTCACCAATTTCTTCTATTGAATCTTTTGATGTTTTCATGTGTATAAAAATAGTTAAGAAGTAGTGTGTGTTTGTGTCTTTCTTACACCACGGATAAAATTAAGAGCCGAGTGAATCAGAGTAATATCTATGCTAAAACATCACAGTAAAGACATTTGATATCTTTGTAAAACCCAGAATCAAATAAGCAGAGCTTGGAGCCGAAGGAGAGCAGAAGAGTTTCAAAGAATAGAGTAAGCACGAACTACCTCAATCACTGGGGCTTGGCACATGGGACATTTTCCTCCCGCTTCGACTAG